TTACAAAAAGGGAGCTCAAATGCCTTCTCTTCTATGAAAAAAAAAAAAATTTTTTCTTTTAAAGTTTCGTTTAAAAGAAAATTTATAATCACTTATATATATCTCTCTCTCTTCCAAAATTAATTTTTAGTGTTGTGTAATATTATTATTTAATATCTATATTTTGATCTCATGGTTGTTGTTTTGAACAATGAATTATATTTATTAGAATTGCATTGTTTGTGTTTGGTTTATATTTTTATTATAATTTTTTTAAAAATTCTTTTTACTTATTTCATCCTTCTATTTTTTTTATAATACAAAAAAAGTATATATAACCTATATATACACTTATGGAAACAGATTAAGGAAGTGGAAAATCTTTAAAGTAGCCGGTAGTCTTTTTTTTTTTTTAAGAAGAAGAAGAAGAAAACGAAGGCAATTTTGTTCCCACTTGGTTATCTCGTGTGTTTTCAATAAAGGTCACTGTAATATCTTTCAGAGTTATTTTCTGAATTCCGAATAAAAATTCTAAAAGGTATAACTTCCTTAAGTTTTGTCCAGAGTGTAAATTGGAATATTAAAGATGTCATAGTTTAATACTAAAGAAGAGACTAATACAATGTTGGGCAAGCTATAATCATAATTGCAATTTTTCTATAATTACAATTAATTGTTAAGCTACAATTTATATTATAGATTCGAAACAGAGTGTAATAATATCTTTCCAAATTAATAAATGTATTATTATACACACGCTATTTATTAATTTGTATTTGGTCTTATTACCTTGTGTTTTTCTACTCTATAATATAAATAGTATCTTATCAATTACTTGTAATTATATAAAATGTAATCAAGATTACATTATTCCCAATAATTCTCTGATAGAATCCTGATTTGAAAGGTAGTGAGTGTTGTATGGGTCGCGCGTAAACATGGAAACTGAAAAATGCAAGGGAAAGAAGTTAGGAAGCATTTGACATATGGTTCTAGAGGTACGTAGAAAGTACAAGCTATGTGTGGACAGGATCATAAATCAACAAAATTTAGAGAAGAGCAAGATTTTTGAAAGTTGTCGGGGAAAAAAAAAAAGATTAAAAGGATGGCATATATACAAATATGAAAAATAGTACAAATGTAATATTGTACTGGGATAAGGTGCATATATTAAGAAAAAAGGCATCTCCTTATCGTGCAACTGAAAGTTGCTTATGGCTTGTGCCATCTATCGGAATAAATATCAACTATGCTCGTTGATTTTTAATTATTCCAGAATTGGCCAAATACCCATTCATCAACGAGAATAGTTGATATTTATTCCGATAGATGGCGCAAGCCATAAGCAACTTTCAGTTGCACGATAAGGAGATGCCTCTTTTCATATACAAATATGTATAATGATGAAATGGATTGATAACGGAGGGTAGCGTAGAGAATGGTAGGAAGACTGTGGGACTCGACGTGAAGCTATGAAGACAACAAGAGAGATAAAGCTAGGGTCTGAGTCCACTGAACCTGCTCAAGAGCAGAGAAACTGAAGATGTCTTCAGAATGTCATCTTGAAGATTCAACCAGCGTAAAAAAGATAGAGCTTATAAATTCAGTTTAAAAGATGATCAAAATATCCAAATATGTTAAAAACATAATAAACTATACACAAGCATTTTTAAATGAAGTTCAACTTTAGAAACATAAAGCTATAGGTTGGTGCGCCACGTGACAGCCAATATGTAGAAAGGTTAGTCCTATAATGGCAGATTCCACCTCGCCTCCAGCCATTTCTTCAAGGACAATTATTTCTCCCTCCTGAACATTTTTTCTCACGTCCCTCCCGTCCACCTTATGTAACATCTAATGATTTGCATAACCCCATCACATATTGTGCCTCTCTGTTTGAAGAAAAAAGAATACTTAATTAGAAGATCCCTCCCCTCTTTGTTGAGACAACTCTTCTGCTGGAATTTTTACATATTGTTCTACCTTTTATAAAAATAAAGATCACCTCTCCCGTTAAAATATACGTCAAAACTAGACGCCATCTATTGACCGTCGCCGCAAACTAGCGGCTTCGGCTCGGTAACAAAGCCACAACACCAGCTTTGGTAAACTGAGAAGCGCCCACCTGGAGACCATGGTTTCGGACTAATGGTCCTCGTCAGCCTAGGGCGGACTTTATTCCATGAGACACACGGGATCTAATGGAATCTTCACAATCTTTCAAAGAGGTATTTAGCTGGTAAAGTGGCTAGACTAAATCTATGGCCAAAATATAGATGAAAATTTCGCTGGGTGGATATTGATCTATAAAGATAAAGGTCGCCTCTCCCGTCAAAATAGAAGACAAAACTAGACGCAATCTATTGTAGCTTTATCACCGACCCGAGGCCGCTTTTTTGCGGTGACGGTCAATAGATGGCGTCTAGTTTTGACGTCTATTTTGACGAGAGAGGTGACTTTCATCTTTATAGATCAATGTCCTCCGGGCAAAATTTTACATCTGCTCTACCTTTGTCATAGCTGTAATAGGAACTGGTCTAGAGGACCAAGACAGCGAATGGATGGATCAATCACAGTGCAGGATTCGATCTCTGCTATCGACGGTTTATAACACTCCGAAGAAATAATTTGTAGTGTAATCCAATGATCGGTTACTTGTGGTCTCTGCAGTGCCATTCACAAGAATCTGTCAAACTCTTTAATTCCATATGATACTTCATTATATGACAAAATAGTACAAAATGGTAATTGTAATGGGAGATCAGGTGGATAAATAATTTTAAAAAAGGCATCTCCTGATGGTGCAACTAAAGTTGCTGATGACTTGCACCATCTATCGGAATAAATATGTTGATTTTTACTTATTCGAGAATTGGCTAAATGCCCATTCTTGTTTTTTGCCCATATTTGGCCCATTATGGGAAATTAAAAAGCAACGATTAGCCGCTATTTATGCCGATGGATGGCGCAAGCTATCAGAAACTTTTAGTTGTACGATCAGAAAATGCCTTTTTTTTACTTCATTATACAAAATATAGAAGATTTAACACACCTATCTTTATCAAAATTCGAAACTATTTTAAAAGCGTAAGATTCTTTTTGAAATTAAACAATTTCTACTGCCCTTACTGCAATGGAAAAATTAAAGGGAGGGCCTGGCTCATCAGTGGTGAACCCTCCCAGCGGTATCCCATTGCAGTAAGGGCAGTAGAAATTGTTTAATTTCAAAAAGAATCTTACGCTTTTAAAATAGTTTCGAATTTTGATAACAGATGGCGCGCAAGTGCATCGTAATATAAACACCTATCTTTTTATAGCGTTGTCTTTATTCCTCTATTATCCATGCGAACTGCTGAGTTTTGAAATATATGTAAACTGGCGCTGTTCATCACTGATGAGCCAACACCTTCCAATTTTTTAGTTATCATTTCAGTAGGAAATTATCTCATTTGACTAAAGGAAACGCAATCGCACTAAATAATTCATATCTCTAAATACAGATGGAGGGCTTTTGCCTTTATAATAGATGTAAAAAAAGTAAAAAAAAACTCTTGATTTATCAAGGAAAGGGGGTGGCCATATACATTCATGGACAAAACATAAGGAAGTGGAAAGTCTTGGTGTCGCTTGTCGTATGTTTTATTATTATTATTTTATTAAAAGAGAGACAAAGTCAATTTTGTTCACACTTGGTTATCTCGTGTGTGTTCAATAAAGGTCATTGTGTGCCAAATATCTTTCAGAATTATTGTCTGAATCCCGATATACATGCTAAAATGTACAACTTCCTTACGTTTTGTTCATGATTGTTTTATGGAGCAAGCCTAAATCGACGTTTAGTTGATTTGTGTTCCACTAGATGGCGATGATGAGGGGTCAGGATATGCCACTTTTAAAATTTATAATAGAGGTAGATGTAAGGCGGAGGTGTATGAAGGTTACAAGTGGAAGCTACTGTAAGCCATGTAGGACGGTCCAAAACGGAGACGTTTTCTACGCGGTGAGGATGTGGAGAACCGGGCAATCAATTAATTGAAGCACGCCTCATTGAGATCACTCCACCGGGAGAAACCAACCGTTCAACGGCTGATCCGATCTACCGAGTGGTGACAATTCTATCTTCTTTTGTATCCAGCGATCTCTTTCTTTTTCTTTTTGAGGAAAAGACGCTAAAGATACGTTTTCTCGCTCTTGTAATTATTCTCTTAAAGAATGAGTGGAATCTATCTAATTACTTTGTTGGATTAATCTATCATGAATAGTATACACTCATATGGACAAAACTTAAGGAAGTTGTACCTTTTAGCATGTATATCGGGACAATAACTCTGAAAGATATTACAGTGGCCTTGATTGAAGAAACACGAGATAACCAAGTGTGAACAAAATTGCCTCTGTCTCTTTCGAAAAAAAAAAAGACGACCGGCGATTTGTCCACGAGTGTATTTCTGAAAGTGTCGTCAGAGAAGGTGGAAATTGCAAGTTTGTTTATTTGGTTTCTCGTTTTTAAGATCAACTTTAGCATAGTTTGTCTTTGGATGTAGGAGTTCAATATTTGATATCTCGTTCGATCTCAAATAAACCAGTACTTAAATTATCTTATTATAACAAAAATTGTCATATTTTTCCGCTAATTTGAAGATTAGAGCTTGCCACCCACCAGACAGTTCGGCGGCCAAATTCACCACCTGAAACCATCATTTGTAGCTATTACATCAGCGCAGGACAATTTTAAAAACTAAAATTCCTCTTAGCTCTCGCAGTTTATAATTTGAAATTATTGTATTTTTTTAGTTGAAAAAAGAGATGAACTGTTTCTTTCTCTATTATATATAGATGGAAATAAAGTCAACAATACTGTCACAGTCCAATACTGTCGATACCTCCCACAGTTCTCTACAGGATTGCGCAGGACAGTTTGTGAGAAACATTATTCATGATTGATTGATTATAATACATTATAATGCGGCTTATGATTGTAGATCGAAATTTGAAAATTATACCGCAAATGTTTCTTTTGAACCAGGGTAGCCTAGTGGACATCGCATCTGCCCGGTAAGCGGAACACTGTGGGTTCGATTCCCATCCCTGGACACTTTATTTTTCCATTTATCATTACTCTTCACAATTCATCCTATCATCCCTAAGGTTAGGAATAATCGTTATTTCTCCTTAAAATAAATTTCAATTTTTCGTTCAAAGAAACATTTGTGGTATAATTTTCAAATTACGATCTACAATTGATTGATTATTCTAGGTCTCCAGAAATGGTTTCCCTGTTTTACGCAAATTTATAAAATAAATGGTTATAATGGCTGTTACCTCGTGTGTGTGTGGGGACATTGCGGCCCTGAAAATACTTCCATCTTTGACATATAGGTCTCGTTAGTTAACATCTCGCTTAAATAATACTGAAGACTTCTTTATCCCCTCCCTCCCTAACACTGAAGAGCTCGAAGCTATTGAAAAGATACGCAGAAAAAACAATGCTATATAGCAGCCGGGTAGATTAAATTGGTGAAACTGCTGGATAGAGGTTCCCCATTGATGAGCCCAAGCCCTCTCAATATTTTCCTCACTTCAATTGGAACATAAAATAACTCTTAATTGTGCGTGATTATATTTCTGAGGGATAGACGATTAGTGAAACTTAGAAGAAGCGATGGCAGCATTTGAAAGAACAAACCCAGATCCATCGAATTACATTTTGACTGAACCAATGGCGGAAAACAGCAAAGCTAACTGAGACAGGGCTCGGCTGAAGAATTCATGTGGGCGCGACAACAACAAAGCTTTAAACTAAATCCTTTAAAGTTGTTTTTATCGACGTATGGTTAACTTCGAGGTGGTACCCTTTATATAAACAATGCATATGTCAAAGAGGCACCTCTCCCTTTAAAACCATGCATTGTATTTATCACCCCAGCACTCAACATATAGGAGGCGATAAGGAATGAGCCACAACACCAGTTTAGGAAAATTCAGACAAAAGCCAACAACCTGTATACTGGGATATGGCCTTCATCAGTACAGAGGCGGCTTCGATCTCATAATATATACGAGAAGAGTTATAAAATCGATCGAATTGGACAAACAGGTGTTTAAACTGGTGAAGTAGCAGGAGCCGATTTTCAGGCCAGAATACGACATACGAGCAGCTGCCAACAATTAAGTGAACATTCAAAATGGCTGAGCTTGTCGGCATAAGTGAGAGACATGAGTACCAACATAAAGCCACAAAAAGATCGAAATTCGAATATACGTAACCAGCGAAAATTCAAAATTCGCGATACTTTTTGAACACACCTCGTAAAACTACGGGAGGATGGTATTCATGTACCAAAAGAGACACCTTTCCCTCTAAATGTCTTTATTACCACCGTTCAGTATTTGGATGATAAACAAAATGTTTCAATGTGTATTTAAAGGGAATTGTGCCTCTCTTTCAGTACATGAATACCATCCGTCCGCGGAAAAAGGTTTTTGACCATTCTGCCTGTGTAGCAGCAGCATCATCAGGCCGGGCGATGAGCTCTACAGGCGACTCCGAGGTCCAGCGGGCCCGGGGCCGACTGGGAGACTCGGCCCCCAACCTGGTGGCGGAGGAGCGCAAGCGGCCCCCCACCCGGCTCAAGTCCCGCCGGCGTCTCGTGGCCCCCATCTCCACCTGTTCCTCCAGCGACGAGAACAAGTATGATTCCTTGGTTTAAACATTGGTTCATCACAAGGAAATTGGGAGCCAATGGCTTTGTACGTAATCGCAAGCGTGCCTTCGCGCGGCCAGTTGAAGTTTTTTTTTTTGGTCTGTTAGTTCAGACGTGCCAGGGAAAGAGTTTTTTTAGCGTGTTTTAGTGAAAACGTGCTTTAGTGAGGCAAGTGTAAGAGTTTTCTTTTAGCGTATTAGCTACTTTGGGCATTAGAGTGCAAGAATCCATGATAATTTTATAAGGTAAACCTTTTCTTAAAGACGTCACTAAATGTTCTTCCTGGATGTTTTCCTCTATAGAAAAGGAGCACTAAGGACACATATCCTCTTTACACAACTTTTATTTATTTATTTCCCCGTGTTTTGAGAGAGAGACGGGATTGTTTGTCCCACCCATATCCTTCGCAAGATCTTTCATAACCTAAGTGTATTGCAATCTCACGAGGATAGGCAAATTTGGATCAAGGGTTTCTCCTAGCATTGAGCGACTGCCGCGGATTGATCCAAAGATCTTCTTCTATAGTTTATTGCCGGCGACATACCGTGTTTAACTCTCATCTTGACGGCTTGATTCAGTGGTTAGACAAACTATAGTCGCAACCAAGGCAGATTCAAAAGATGGATCCGCAAGAAGACCGCAGAGTGGCAGAAAATGCTAATGCTACCAAAATAATAATTAAATATCTCTATTGTATTGTTTTTTTAAATGTTGAATCGGTAAAATTGAACGATCGATGCAATATTTGGATGGGGGGGGGGGGGGGATATGGGCGCAGCAAGAAAGCTTTCATACACCTCTCAGTAAGGCCCTTATCGCAACATTGTTGTCATTCCTCTTTGGAATTGATTCAAAATTCTACCTGTATGTAAATAAAGAATTCCTTTATTTTTAACCCCATACCCAGTTAAATCCACACAGTGTGACTAAACGGGACATGTGCAGGTCGAGCGGACATGCCAGCCTGAGCGAGAGCGGCCAGTCCACACCTGGCACCCGCCGTACCCCGGCGCGGGGCAGAGACGATGCCCTGGAGGAACTGCGGCGGGCCATGGAACGTATGGCGGCCCGCAGCCGCAACAGCTACTCCACCTCGACGTACTCCTCCCTGAGTAGCGGCTCCACGGGCCGCCGCCCAGACGAGTCGGCCGCGGCGGACGAAGAGTTCGTGTGGGTGGACGGCCGCAGCAGGCTGGTGGAGCTGCAGAGGCCGCCGTGGTCTACGCAGGCCGTGCTGGCAGCGGTCCGGGGGGCCGCCCGACTGGGCACCCTCGCTCACAGGTCGGTGTAAACCTTACACTTCCCCCCTCCCCATGTCCTTATCCTTGTCTAGTGACTACAACAAAACCTGCCGTCTTAAATATAGACCGGAGTCCAAGGCAAAAAAAAAAAAAAAATCAAAAATTAAAAAAATATATGAAATATAGTATAAGCGTAAATTGTACTTCGACCAGTTTGATAAATAAAAAATACAGGGTGATCCAAAAGTCCCGCACAACTTTAAAAATTAATAACTCCGCGAATATTTGCGCCAGAGCAATGCGGTAAACACCATTGTGTTCAGGATGCAATGGGATTTTTTATGGCAAATAATGAAAAATTCGAAATTGATTTTAGTTACAACTTTATTCGCTAGATGGCGCTCTACCAGAATCAGCGATTCAGCGGCCAAATTGTTTGATAAATTGGAAGATATAACTGAAAGACACGTATTTTTCCTTTTTGAATACCAGGAAAGAACCCTAATAATATCAAATGTTAAATTAATAAAACACCATTTCGCCAAAAGTTAGAAGAAATGATTAACGATTTTTAAATACAATCTGAGATATGTAAAATAGGTATATGCAAATTAAAACATGTAGCAAAAAATAAAACTGATATTTTAGATGCGGTTTGTTGGAATCCTCTCAGCTATTTAAATTTCGAAAATAATAATTTTCCAATTTTTTAAATTCAACTCTCTCTCAGTATCAATTATATTTATTTTAATTCATTTGAAAAATATTTATCTATCTATGATGATTTATTTTACTCTGGAATACCGTTGTTGTTTTGGTATGTGTCCAATAAAGAGCCTCAGGTGTCTCCATGCATCTCTATCACAGCAGCAGCAGCATTGTCCACTATCTTGGGTGTGTAAAGCTGCTGCTCTGGGTCTATGTCAATTTTCTGCAAAGCTGCGGGCATGAGAATATGTGGGTAGATGTTAGTTCCACACCAGGACAGTTGTCCTATAGGTTCTTGTGCCATCTGGATGTATTGTCATCCTTTATAATGTTTTGTTCTAAATCTTGTTATAGTTTTGTCATTTTCTCTCAGAGTTTATTTCACATTTTGATCTTTTCTTATTTTTTTTATTTAATTATCTTGTATTTTGTAAAAGCATTAGCGTCAAATAATGACATTTGTTCTTTCCTTTGGCTCAACTTTCTGGCTTCCTTTGCAAATTCAACTGCCATTTCATTACCCCCGATCCAAACACTGGCAGGAATCCATTGTAGAATGCAGTTATTCTCCAATGATATCAGTTGAGTAAGTAACGAATGTATTTTCTGTGTGATTATAGTATTGCCCTTCTGAATTGCTTCTAGATCGGATATGAAGTCGTTGTACAGTATATTATAATTCCTTCTGTTCCTCGTGTTAAACGAAAAACTAACCAGGATCTTGACCACTCTAGGCCTTCGATGAGGGTATGAAAACAACTTTAAAATGGGGGGCATTGTTAGGTTTTTTATAAGTTGTTTTTTTCATAGATTAATATATTTATATTTTGACCAGATGACCGGACGACTTTATATGTATATATTTGGTTTTTAATGCTGTAAATTAGTTAGTCATGAAAGGAAATTAAAAGTGTTGATTTTCTTAGAGGTGTTGGTGTTTACTCTGCTCGATTGTAGACTAGGAAAGAATTGGTTCCTAACAGTATCCCCTTCCATCGATCGATGAGATCTTTTCAAAATTATCTACAAGCACCGTACTTTCGACTCTAGACCTATCACAGGCTTACTTACAATTAATGTTAGCGGAAGAAGCCAAAGCTGTTGTTGATATAAACACAACAAAGAGGTTGTGTTCTTATAAAAGACTACCATATGACGTAGCGGTAGCACCAAATAAATTTCAGAGGATTATGGAAGGTCTATTTGCTGATTTGCCAGGTGTGGCCTGCTACATAGATGATATTTTGGTTGCAGGAAAAGACTTTGAAGATCATGAACAAAAGTTGGATCTAGTGTTTAGATGATTGCTAGAAAAATGTTTAAAGTTAAACAGATATAAATGTAAATTTAAAAAGAAATCGGTGGAATATTTAGGTTTTAAAATGGATAAATATGAACTGCATTCCTTAGAAAATAAAATTAAAGCAGTGATAGAGGCGCC